AAAGAAAGAAAGAAAGAAAGAAAGAAAGAAAGAAAGAAAGAAAGAAAAGGTTCCAGATGAGAAAGCCTCCTCTAGTTTTGTTTCCAATGATTGTCAGTCCTTGTGAAAGCTGAATGACTTCTAAGATACCACTAGATCTACAATTGCCTGACACTGGTTCACCAGAGCGTGTATGAATCCAGCTAAAACATATTAATTTTAATATACTTTCTCCTTCTGATGGTTGGCTTTGCATCCCTTCCAACCAAAGGATCTAGAGCTACACCAGACTGTGTGTGTTTCTGAAGAGCTATTTGCATTTAAAGGAAAAATAGTAATATTTGGGGGTTCCAAATGTGTTTTTTCAAGAGGCAACTAGACTGTGGTTTTTCTTTGAAGATGTTTGGCTTCTCATCCAAGAAGCTTCTTCAGTTCTGGAGGACCGATAATCTCCATAGACATAATACCTGATGGCTGTCAGAAACAGGGCCCTGATGTATTCAGAGAGAATCAAACCAGAACAATTTAACAAGAGCAAAAATGTTGGTCAGATTAATGCAGGATGAATCTGGTCACCCCTTCTTTGAAAAAAGCAAACTTATTTAAAATGAAATGAAGCTACACAAACAACAGAGATGTAATGCAACTTTTTGTTTATTTTTCATCATTCATTTAAAAGCATATGGAGGAGGTATTATTGCTGGTTTACATAAAATTTAGGATATTCAGACTTTAGGTTATGTGCTGGTTGTAGGCTACAGAGGAAAAAAAGGAAAGCACTGGGAAACATCTATTTAGGTTACAATGGTTGAAATTGAGCACAGAGCATGAAAAAGAGTTCAGGACATGAGCCAGAGGATCAGCAGAAACCGAGATCTTTCCCATAGAAGAGTAGCCATCTTGAGGGAGACTCCATTCTTTTCACCTTCAAACACTGTTAAATCTGGCCTTCCTCATAGTGCACAGGCAATCCGTTCTCACAAGCAATGACAATATACCTGGGCGATTCGTTTTCCCTGTAATCACAAGGAGGTTTGGTGGACGATCCCTTCATCTTACAGGTGGTGACCCGGAACTGTTTCTTGCTACGCCGCAATCTGTTATTGATGGCTTCTCCACCATCCCCACAGACAGCAATGATTTTGTTCTTTGTGTCATGGATGAAGGTGTTGACCTCCTTACATTTGGGTTGGGTCATTCCGCGCCTTTGCATCATTTTATTACAGTAGTTATCTCCCACGTTGCTTTTGGGGTTATCGTAGTGCTGCCTCAGGAAGGTCTCGTAATCCGCAGCAAAGGTGCCCAGCATCAGCACTGCAGCCAGGACTATGAAGAGTCCAAGGCCAACTCCTTTGAACATCATGATCAGCTCTGCCACAGAAAGAAGGGAGAAGATGCATGAATATCTCCATTTGAAAGCATTGGTTCAAATATCGAGCACTGAATGGGACCTATTTCCTCTGGCTGTTACGGAAAATATTTGATTCTCCATGTTGTCAAAATTAGGGAATTTTCATCAGAAGCTCCTCCAGGGAAATTCTAAGGAGGCTGCACCCCTTCCAGTGGAAGCCAACCATTGAAATTTTCCCAGACATTCATACTGAGACAGGAATTACATTAGCTTCTGAGCTGACTTCCTTTGGTGCTCAATAGAAGGGCTCTACAAACATCCTTGAATTGGATGTTCTACCAAAGTAATATTCTTAAGGTGTATGGCAATGACCTTGGGAGACAGAAGAAACAGCCAACAACTACCCAATGGTCACATAAGAGGCATCTGACCCAGCAGAAGAAATGGGGCCAAGGCAAACGTTGTAGAAATCTCCTTGGATTGTAAAGGTGATAGGAGTGGGAAATATACTTTCAGACTTGCAAGGTATTCTTAAGATAAACTTACAATATGAATAGAGCTGGAACTCCTGGGTATGTCTCTTGTTTGGACTACTACACAAAACAGACAAATATCAGCTCTATTTCTTGGGAACCTCCCCCCAACCTTTACTACCTCTTTGTTGTCTCTAGTCACCTCATTCCTCTGACTTTTCTCCCAAAATATGTTTTTTATCCCCTGAGCCATCCTTGGATAGGGTCAGAATTAAGAAGAAAATATTCCTGAAATGTTATTACTTAAGAACAACTTAATAAGTCTATCTCACTCATGAGCTTGGAGGGAGCTGAGATCTAACTCATGATGAAGGTAGGTGTCTGCCCTTCAGTGTAATACAAGCCCTATGAAAAGATAGCTTAAAATGCAGCTCAACTTAGTATTGAGAAGCCTTATCCAGTTCAGTGAGAATCAAAATCTTCCCTAGGAACATCATCCCTTCATCTTAGCCTTCCCTGGTCTTAGACTCACCTGAATGTGACCTTGAAGAAGAGAAGGGTTCTCAACCTTCCGTCTTCCTCTGTCCTTCTGCTTCTACGATCCTGTTATATAATGGCCCGCTTGCAAGGGAGAGGTGGAGCAGGAAAGAACTACAATTGCAACCCCCACTCCAAAAAAGAGGAAGTGAGCATGGACAGTCGTTAATTTCAAAAGAGAAAAAAAAGGTTCACGTGTGCAAGGACATTCTGGAAGCGAGCGTGTTTGTGCATGAACCTATTTCACAGCTGGATGTGAGCAATGCTGTTGCCTTATCCCCAATGGTGAAACCCTTACTGAAAGAGACATGACCACCTGAAACTTCTCAAGCAGCATAATGCCTCTGAGTAAGGGCAGCGTGGATGTCCTTCAAACAACAGAGCCTACTGCTATCTTGTACACACATCTGAAGAGTTGGCGAGAAGGAAGATGAGATTTCCAGCATGATTCTTGCATTAAAAACAAGTAAAGCTTATCTGCACATATATGTTTATGTGCAATGGATCACATTTCTATATTCCGATGTGTTTTTATCACATTAAGAGTTTTGGAAGGGATCTTGTAAGCCATCTAGTCCCACCCCTGGGCCAAGTAGGAGACACTACATCAGTGGTTCCCAAATTTTTTCAGTCCACCGCCACCTTGATGCTACAAATTCATCCTCAATGCCCCCCACCCAGGGGTGGGATTCAAATTTCTGTGGGCGTGGCCTAATTTGAGGGTGTGGTTTGCTGGTAACACGACTTGGGGGCATGGCTTGCTGGTCACATGACTGGATGGGCGTGGCTTGTTGGTCACATGACTGGTGGTGTGTCTTGCTGGTCACACTGGGTGGCCGTGGTTTGGTGACTGGCAAACCAAATACAAGTGGTCCTCATTTAATCATTGCTTAGCAAGTTCTAATTTATGACTGGCCTCCCCAGAACTACTTGACCTGTTTTTGGAGGTTTGACAGCCATGCACACACATATACACATACTCCCTTCCAACTCTGCTGGATCAGGTCATTGGACTAGAATTGGCAAAGCCTCTCTGATTAGATTCTAGTAGTGAATAAAATCTAATCAGAGATGCTTTGCCAATTCTTGTTGATTTGTTTTATTTGTATTAATTTATTTTATGTTGCTGAATTGCATTGACATGTGTGTCCCTTCTTGTGCACAACCCAGAAGCTTTTGTGATTCTTTGCAGCAAAAATTACCGACCTCTGGCTTTGCTCTACTTTTCAAACATGTCGGCACTGCCATGTTCTAGGTGCCGGCCCTGCAGGTCCACCCCATTGAGCCCGCTGCACTGGAGGGACCTGCCCAAGTCCGAGCGGAGCGGTTCACGAAATCAATGGGGTGAGTTTGGGAGAGGGAAAGAGAGAGAGAGAAAAGAAAGAGAGAAAGAGAGAAGGAAGAAAAGAAAGAGAAAAGGGAAAGGAAAGGGGACAAAGAAAGAGGGGGGATGGAGGGATGCGGGGGGGAGAGAGAAACCTGATGCTCAATAGAAGGGCTCTACAAACATCCTTGAATTGGATGTTCTACCAAAGTAATATTCTTAAGGTGTATGGCAAGACAGAATGAGGATCGAAATGAGGTCTAGTTTAGAGGCCTTTTCCACAGTGAAACATCTTTGCCAGCATCTAGGCCAGCACATTGAAACATCTTTGGCTTCTATTAATTAAAGATTTTGTAGACGAAACATGGCCAAGACTATCAGGAAGCTCTCACATTTTGTTGAGGCTTTAAACAGGATCCATTGGACCAGACCTCCACCCTAAAAAATTACTTTTCCCCGATGTATTACAGTGCCAATTCTGAAGAAGGCAAAACCAAAATGTATTGGTAAATTACAAGGAGAACACACACACACACACACACACACACACACACACTCCCTTCTAACCCTGATGGAGCAGGTGATTGGAATAGAATAGATATCTCATTATCTTTCTCCTCCCTCCCTCCTTCTTTATTTCTTTCTCTTTCTGTCCCTTCCTTCCATCCCCCCCCTCTTTCTTTGTCCCTTTTTCTTTCTTTCCCCTTTCTCTTTCTCTTCTTCCTTCTCTCTTTCTCTCTCTCTCTCTTTCCCTCTCTCAAGCTCCCCCCATTGACTTCGTGAATTGCTCCATTCGGACTTGCTTGGGGAGGTGCCTCTGGTGCAAGGGGCTCAATGGGGTGGACCTGCAGGCCCTCGCCCCGAACACGGTGGTGGTGGGATGTTTGAAAAGGAGAGCAAAGCCACTCTGATTTTGCTCTCCTTTCCCAACACTGAGTTCAGGGAGAGGCCCCTCAGGATCACCCTATTGAGCTCCTTGTATCAGAGCATGCAAGTCAATGGGGTGATCCTGCGGGGCCTTGCCTCGAATCCGGCGGCAGCGGGATTTTTTCTCACCCGCCGCTCACCTCCAGTGCCCCCCTGATGCCTCTTAGCACCCCCTTCCAGCCCCCTTGCCTCTCAGCACACCCTTAAGGCATCCCACCTCCCCCAAGGGGGTGGTACCACCCACTTTGGGAACCACTGCACTACACCATTTTTGATCTCTTTTTTAATCTCTCATTTTTTAGTCTTTTCTTGAAAGCCTCCAGTGATGAAGCTCCCACAACTCCTGAAGGTAAGCTATTCCACTGGTTGATTGTTGTTACTCTCAGAAAATTTCTCCTTATTTCTGGGTTTGAATCTCTCCTTATTCAGTTTCCATGCATTATTCCTTCAGGTGCTTTGGAAAATAGCTTGACCCCCTTCTTCTCTGTGGCAGCCCCTCAAATATGCTGTCAGGTGTCTCCTGGTCCTTCTCTTCACTAAACTGGACTCTTCACTAGACTTTTAACATTGCCAACGGTTATGGAGAATTAGGTCTTCTAGTATTAACCTCTGTTCAAGGAAGAAACCCTATACCTTTTCAGATAAACTGGCTATCTAATCTTTTCTTCAAAACTTCTACTGTTAGAACACCCAGAACTTTTGGTGGCAAGCCATTCCACTGATTAACTGTTCTGTCATGAAATTTCTCCTTACTTCTAGATTGCTTCTCTCCTTGACATCCAATCTACATTTGGATAATATTTATCTGGCCACTGATCAATCTGTCTATGACATAATGTTCCATGACCATTACTCCATCATTAAGGTAATTAAAGTCAGTTGCAGAAATGGTTGGGTTAAATGAACCTGAAGATGGTCTGCCTGTTTGCAGCTTATGATGTGTTCAAAGAATAGCTGACAGGTTAAAATAAAAATAATAATAATTCTTAACAGTGGAAAACCTCAAGTAACAAATGTATGAAAGAAGGTAAATTAGGCAGAGATTGAGAAAGCAGAAAATATTTCTGTATTTCTTTCCCTCAGCTGAAAGTGGTGAAGTGGTTAAGGTACAGACTGGAAACCAGAAGACTGTGAAAAACCACTTGAATGACTTTGGGCCCATCTCTTTCACTCAACTCAACTCACCTCACAAGGTTGTTCCAGGCAAAATGGGAGGAGGAGGAAGCACCAGGAATCCTCAACAGATTGAGTTGCCAAAAATAGAAGGGCAAGGTAAAAATTAAAGAAATAGGTGAATCACTGGATGAAAGCAGGAAAGTATGTATGAAGGTCAGTTTACTTTCTTGCCTTTTAAAAATTCTTTATTTAATTTGGAAAATTTTATTTAGGAAATGTTCACATTCTGTGTTATAATGCACTTTTGACTGGTCTGAAGTGTGTTTTTCTGTGTGTTTTTCTGAAACCGGATGAGATTTCTTCGAGCAAAATTTTCAATTTTCTCTGAATTTGCTAATCCTTTCTGTTAAATTCTGATACAGATTAGAATACCCCGATCTTGTTCTGCTCAGACCAGCTATCATTGGAACTATTTGCTTTTGAGTTTTTTGTTTTAGTTTTGGGGTCAATTTACCAGGATCCGCATGACTGATAGGTTTTCTCAAATTATAATTTTCTCTCGAGGTGTGGCTGATCCCTAAAACAATACAATGCAGGAGAAAATTAAGAGAAAATATTAAGTAAAGCAAGCCAGTTTGGATTTTATCAACTCTGCAGTTTCCCAACCAACCAATTTATTCCAGCCATTTTTACTACAGGTTGTGAAAAGGCAACAAGTTTAAGAAGAAAATTAATTTACTGCTAAACTCAATCTTCCTTGATTACTTTAGATTTAGGATACTGGTTACTGAGACAATATTTGCAAATATTTATTGGGTTATTCAAAACTGACAGTCCTAAAACAATGAAATGAAATTTATTGAGTAAAAGATTCAAATGCATTATTTAGACTAGAGGACAAGAAGCATTCGAGAACCTCCCATAAAAATACAGTATCTTTGTTTGGTTTTTTAAAAAAAATCTTCAGGATGTTGTCTTCTATTTCAAAGCTCTTAAGACAGAGTTTTCCAAACATTGATTAACTGTCCTTCTTTTCTCACTGATGAAGCTCTGCACGTGTTCTTTTTATATGGTGGTACCAATATTATGGCAGTTTCTGTCCCTTGAAAATCTGACTTCATTATTTCAGGTAAATATTAACAGAGATCTGTTGAAGAAAGGTTTTGATATACTGTTGGTACATAACACTGCCTACCTGGCTGCTGTTAAAAATTTCTATATTTTTCCCATTATTACTGTTACATGAAATTATTTATGGCCTGGCCTTTTTATTATTGTGGTCTGATGAGTTTCTTCATTGTGTTGGGTTAAAACAAAGGGATAAAGACAGGAATTTCTGGTGTAATTGAGATGGTCTAAGGCAGTGTTTCTCAAGCTTGACAACTTTAAGATGTGTAGACTACAACTCCCAGAATTCTACCTCCTTCACGTGCAGCTATACCACAGAGATGATACAGGGAAAGAAAGGAATGGAGATGGGAAGAACTCTTTCAGTTCAGTTTGCCATAAAGCCAGCCATTGTGAGAGCTGAGTCTCCTTCTAAGATAGTCACTAGATCTAGGATTGCCTGACACACAATCTTTAGCAATAGCAATAGCAATTAGACTTATATACCACTTCATAGTGCTTTACAGACCTCTCAAAGTGGTTTACAGAGTCAGCTTATTGCCCCCAACAATGAGGATCCTCATTTTACTCATCTTGGAAGGATGGAAGGCTGAGTCAACTTTGAGCCTGGTGAGATTCGATCTGCTAAATTGCAGGAAGCTGGCTGTCAGCAGAAGTAACCTGCAGTACTGCATTCTAACCACCATGGCTCTTTGCTGCCTTTTTATTGCCTCTTGTTACTGCATTCCTCTGAGTTCTCTACTCCCTCCCCAATATCTTTATATCCCCTGAAGCTATCCTTGCATAGAGTGAGAATTAAGGTGGAAAATACTCCTTTATTATTATTACAACTAAAGTCTATCTAAAGTCTAACTGAGCCTCGATGGCGTAGTGGTTAGACTGCAGTACTGTAAACT